GGCTGAAAAAGAAATCAGAGAAACATCACCCTTTACAATTGCCACAAACAACATAAAATACCTTGGGGTAACGCTAACCAAACAAGTGAAAGACCTGTATCGTAAGAACTTTGAAACTTTAAAGAAAGAAATTAAAGAAGCCCTCAGAAAATGGAAAGATCTCCCATGCTCTTGGATGGGTAGGATCAATGTAGTAAAAATGGCAATCCTGCCAAAAGTAATCTACAGATTCAATGCAATCCCCATTAAAATCCCAGCACAATTCTTCACAGACCTTGAAAGAACAATAATCAATTTTGTATGGAAAAACAAAAGACCCAGGATAGCCAAAACAACACTGTTCAACAAGGCAACGTCCGGAGGCATCACCATCCCTGACCTCAAGCTCTATTATAGAGCTATAGTCCTGAAAACAGCTTGGTATTGGTACAAAAATAGACAGGTAGACCAATGGAATCGAATTGAAAACCCGGATATTAACCCACACGCGTATGAACATCTGATCTTTGACAAAGAAGCTAAAAATATACAATGGAATAAAGAAAGCATCTTCAACAAATGGTGCTGGCATAACTGGAGACTGGCATGTAGAAGAATGCAGATCGATCCATGTTTATCGCCATGCACAAAACTTAAGTCCAAATGGATCAAATACCTCAATATAAATCCAGCCACACTGAACCTCTTAGAAGTGAAAGTGGGTGGTACCCTTGAACAAATTGGTACAGGAGACAGCTTCCTGAACATAACACCAGTAGCACAGACAGTGAGATCAACAATTAATAAATGGGACCTACTGAAACTGAGAAGTTTCTGTAAGGCAAAGGACCACAGTCAGCAAGACAAAAAGGCAGCCCACAGAATGGGAAAAATATTCACTAATCCCACATCGGACAGAGGGTTGATCTCCAAAATTTACAAAGAACTCAAGAAGCAAGTCCCCAAAACATCAAAGGATCCAATTAAAAAGTGGGCTGCAGAACTAAATAGAGAGTTTTCAATAGAGGAGTCTAAAATGGCTGAGAGGCACTTGAGAAAGTGCTCAACATCCTTAGCCATCCGGGAAATGCAAATCAAAACAACTCTGAGATACCATCTCACTCCTTTCAGAATGGCTAAAATCAAAAACACCAATGACAATCTATGCTGGAGAGGATGTGGTGAAAGGGGGACACTCCTCCATTGCTGGTGGGAGTGCCAACTGGTTCAGCCACTTTGGAAATCAGTATGGAGATTCCTCAGAAAAATGGGAATAAACCTACCACAAGACCCAGCAACTCTACTCGTAGGCATATATCCAAGAGATGCCCATTCATACAACAAAGATGTCTGTTCCACTATGTTCATAGCAGCTTTATTTGTCATAGCCAGAACTTGGAAGCAACCTAGATGTCCCTCAACCGAAGAGTGGATAGAGAAAATGTGGTACATCTACACAATGGAGTACTATTCAGCAGAAAAAAAGTCATGGAATCATGAGATTCGCAGGCAAATGGATGACACTAGAAGAAACCATCCTGAGTGAGGTAGCCCAGTCACAAAAAGAGAAACATGGCATGTACTCTCTCATATATGGATTTTAGACATAGATCTGGGGAGTGCCAGCCTACAATCCTATGGCCAGAGAATCTGGGAAACAGAAACTTCATTTAGTGGCTGATCAAAGAAGAGGCAGACTCCCTTGGTTAAGTACTGAGCTGAACTCAAGAAAGCCAGTAACAGAGAGGGAGGACTGATGATCAAAGGGATTAAGACTGGGCTGGTTTAACCCCCAGAAACAGCTGACCAGACAAAGGTTAACTCTTGAATCCCAGGCATCAGCCTGGGAATCCAGCATGGGACTGATCAAGACCCCCTGAATCTGGGTGTCAGTGAGGAGGCCTAGGTAATCTATTGAGACTTGGGCAGCAAACCAGTACCCATCCCAAATATCCACACGGACTTTGGACTCCCATAGAACAATGTGAGGTGCACGCTCACCCTGAACTCTTGGGGAAGGGTCTAGGCCCTGCCTTATATGAAATGACAGACTATGGACACCCCCATGGAGGGCCTCACCCTCCCTGGGGGAATGAGGGGATAATGGGGGGGGTTGGGGGGAGGGCACGGGAGGAGGGGAGGGAATGGGAGAGGGACCTGGAACTGACTTGTGAAGCAACCTTGTTTCTTATCTAAATTTAAACTGGAAAATAAAATAAAATTAAAAAACTGCTATCAGGGCATTATATGTAATAGCTAGATCCTGGAAGCAACCTAGATGCCCCTCAACTGAAGAGTGGATAGAGAAAATGTGGTACATTTACACAATGGAGTACTACTCAGCAGAAAAAAACAATGGAATCCTGAAATTTGCAGGCAAATGGATGGCACTAGATGAAACCATCCTGAGTGAGGTAACCCAGACACAAAAAGACAGACATGGTATGTACTCACTCACATATGGATTTTAGATATGGATCAGGGGAGTGTCAGCCTACAATCCCAGTGCCAGTGAGTCTGGGAAACAGGGAGGTTCCCAAGAGAGATGCATGATACCCCAGAGAAGTGGAATGAGGCAAGATCTCCTGAGCAGATTGGGAACATCAGGGGAGGGGAGAGGGAACCAGGAAAAAGAGAGGGGGATAAGAGGAAGGGAGAAGAAGGTATGGGGGAGCAGGAAGGTTGAGTTGAGGTAAGAATAGAGGAGAGCAGGATGAGAGATACCATAATAGATTGAGTCATTATAGGCTTGAGGAGAGAGCTGACACTAGTGAGATCTCCAGAGATCTACAAGGATAATACCAACTGGCAAACTAAGTAATAGTGGAGAGACTACATTAATAGCCCCTCCTTGATGATAAGGTTGATGACTTCCTTATATGCCATCCTAGAACCTTCATCCAGTGACTGATGGAAGCAGACACAGATACCCACAGCTAAACACTGAACTGCACTACTGGAACCTAGTGACAGAGATGGAGGAGGGATGAGCAAAGGGGTCAAGACGGTGAAACCCACAAAAACAGCTGACCGGATAAGGGGGAGCTGTTGAATCCCAGACTGATGCCTGAGAGCCAACAGGGGACTGATCCAGACTCCATGAATGTAGTCTCAGTGAGGAGGCCACAGAAGTCTCTGGGGCCTTGGGTAGTAGATCAGTGTTTACCTTGGTTTATGAATGATCTTTGGGAGGCCATTCCAAATAGAGGGACACATGGGGAAGGGCCTAGGTCCTGCCCTGGATGAAATGACAGACTTTAGAGATCCCCCAAAGAGGGCCTCACTCTCTCTGGGGAATGATGTGGGGGTTGGGGGGGGCTTGGGGGCTGGTGGAAGGACAAGGGAATAGGGGTGGGAGAGGGAGCTGGGATTGACATGTGAAGCATTCATGTTTCTAAGCTAGCAGGGTACAATCTCTAACCCAAATCAGAGACATGCACCCAGAGGCTGGTGAAGACAAGAGCTGCTCTGCCCTGCCAAGATGAGGTGGTCAAGGTGACCTCAAAGTAGACCTTGAATGACTGCATGAGCAAGTTACAGAAATCAAATCAGCAGTTAGCCATATCTTAACTAGCAGATGGTCACAGCTGCACATTTCTGGGTGGGGGTCAGGGAATCAGGGTTGCTGGGAACTTATCTTCCAGGAACTTGAGTCAGATACAAACTGCTATTAGAACTAAGACAGACACCTAGCACAGAATGGAGGGTTTTTATTTTGTTTTGTTTTTGTTTTTTAAGTAGTCACATCCCCCAGGGGCTCTAGTTCATATGAGTCAAATCATTGATTCGTGTTGAGGTACAGGTTGGTTCTGAGTCTGTGGGACTAATATTTTAATGGAACTTATTCTAGTTCTAATGTATGTTAGTAACCAATTTAAAGTGCAAGGGCCATTAATATCAAGGAATAGTAAAAGACTAGGTCGGCTATGGCAGTTAAAAGGGTGGTAGGCCATGGGGACCAATTAGAGTGGTGTTAGCTTGTCACTGTAGGGGGAGCACTCCATCCTAAAAAGAACAGTAGGGAGAATTTCAGCCTAAAATCCAACAGTTTCTGTACTGAATTTGGGTAATATTTCCTTAATAGTCCTGGTAGCTCTTCCTACCTGTCCTGAGCTTAGGGGACTGTAGACACAATGAAATTTCCAATGTATTCCTAGAGTTTAAGTCACTTGCCTTTATACTTTGGCCATGAATACTGGACCATTATTGGACCCAAAGAGTAGGGAATGCCAAATGGGGAATGGTCTCCTGTCGCTTCCACACCACGAGCAAGTCCGAGGTATTGGGAAATGAAAGACACGACATCCAACCGTTTGTGCTAAGAGAATGCATTTGTCACCTTTATTACCAGGAGAGTGTGTGAGTGTGAGTGAGTGTGTGTGTGTGAGTGTGAGTGTGTGTGAGTGTGAGTGTGTGTGTGAGTGTGAGTGAGTGTGAGTGTGTGTGTGTGTGTGTGTGATAAGGAGTGAGCAGGTTTATATATACAGACTTACAACACAGTGGAGAAACCCCAGGTGTAAGAGCTCTCGTTTTCCTCGTGCTAGATATTGATGTCAGGTGGGCAAGGCCAGGGCCGTAAGCCAGGACCAGAGAGCAGGATGCACCTATGGCTATCAGCTGATAAGCATTGCACAGAAATCTGTCGGGGCTGGGACCCAACAGTGTCCTTTAGTAACTTCTTACTAACTACATTAGCCATTTAAGTAGCTGCAAAACTTAGCAAATATCAGTAGTAAAACCTGGTCAGAGTTACTTCAGTGAAGTAAAACCTGGTCAGAGTTACTTCAGTGAAGTCCATCCCCAGTGTTCATCAGTAGGTGGCACCTGGCAGTAGATGTCTAGTGCCCCCTTGCTTTAATCAGTGTTGGGATCCCAGTTTGGTAAAGTTGAGGGCAATATTTACTCATTTTATCTTTCTGCATCCACCCCCGTTTCCTTGAGACCCATCAAAAGCCTCCTGGCTTCAGTCATGGTTCGATCCCTCTCCTCAGCAGTACAACAGGTACCTAAAAACTACTTACAATCAACCAGGCCATATCGGGTGGTGGTGGTGAAGAAAACAGGCTGATGAGGGCCTGAGGCATCTCAGGGAAGAAAGGGTTCTGGGTGTTCCAGTTATGTAGATTGCTGATGGAAAAGGGGAACATAAACTAGAAAGAGGTATGGGCCTCTGGCCCTCATCAGCCCTTGCACCAGTGGGGTCCAAAAGGGTGTGTCTCTAGGCTAGGGATCAGCAGAGGTGGAGCATAATCCAACCTACTGTGAGTGTGTGAAGGTGACGGTAGGGTAGGTCAAAATAAATTTTTGGGACTGTAGATGTATGATCTGCTTCAGACACAGTCAAGTCCTAGGCTGGTTTGATGTATGGGCTATAAGTAGGGGGACATACAGAGTAAGTAGGCATTTTACTTAGAGTTTTATTCAGTCTCTGACTCATGGACATGGTAACTAAACAGAGGAGCCTTGTTTAAGGGCACACCATTTCAGCCAGAAAAAAAAGGGGTGGAGAGGGAGACCCAGCAGCCCAAACAGTTTGATGTCTACAGTCCTGTATGGTCTTATGTCGACTGGGCACAAACTAGAGTCATGTGAAAGAAAGCAACCTCAATTGAGGAAATACCCCTTTAAGATCCAACTGTACGAAATTCCTTCCTTCCTTCCTTCCTTTCTTCTTTTTGTTATTTTTGGTTTTTTGAGACAGGGTTTCTCTGTATAGCTTTGGCTGTCCTGGAACTCACTCTGTAGATCTCAAACTCAGAGATCTTTCTGCCTCTGCCTCTGGAGTACTGGGATTAAAGGTGTGAGCCCACCACTGCCCAGTGGGCATTTTCTTAATTAATGATTAATGGGAGAGATCATTGCAGGTGATGCCATGGCTGGAATAGTGTTACTAGGTTCTATAAAACAGCAGGCTGAGCAAGCCATGATGAACAAGTCAGTAAGCAGCTCCCCTCTATGGCTTCTGCACCAGCTCCAGCTTCCAAGTTCCTGCTCTACTTGAGTTCCTGTCCTGACTTCCTTTGATGAAAAGTGATATGGAAGCATAAGCCAAATAAACCCTTTCTTTCCTAATTTGCTTTTGGTCATGGTGTTTCATCACAGCAACAGTAACCCTAAGACAGAAGTTGGTACCAGTATACATGCTAACATGGATAGGAAAACACTCAGTAGACCTCAACTCTACAGAAAGAACCACAGGCAACTATGAAATGCTGACAGGGGAAGGAATAGTCTTTGTCAGTGATGAGCACACCAAATGTAAGTCCTAGAAATTTATAAATACAAATAAAATAATACAGACTTATAAGTGTATGTATTTAGGAATATATGTATGCATGTATATGGATATAAATGTATGAAGAGTGGCCATGAGTAGGAAAGAGAGCAAGAAGGAATATGTGGAAAGGTTTGAAGGGAGAAACAAGAGGTGAGAGATGATGTAAACATATTAAAAGCTGAAAAGATAAAAAAATATTACTTTTTAAAAGGAGCAAAGAAAAAATATCCAGTTGTAATAGTATTCAATGTTAGGATGATCTAAAGAGGTGGAGGCACAAAGATCAGGAGTCAAGACCAGCATGGGCTATACTTTTAAGAAGTGTTGGGAGATGTCATTCTGAAAATATGTGTCTGATCGGTTTGAATAAAGCACTGTTGGCCAATAGGGAAGCAAGATAGGTGGGACTAGGAGTCGAGGAGGATTCTGGGAAAGAAAGACATAGGCAGACACGATGTGTGCTGCCAGAATAAGAGGTCCAGACCCTTTTCTCTGGTAAGAGAAATACTTATATTAACAATTATGGGTTAAATACTTAAGTCAGAGATAACCAGTAAGAAACCAAGCAAATGGCCAGCAGCTTCATAATTAATATAGTGTCTTGTGTGTTATTTGGGGGCTAAACCAGCAATGGAACCCAGGCAGGAATCCTGCAACAATAAAGAAGTTAGAGAGATGGGCTGGGCTTTGGTGGCACTCGCCTTTAATCCAAGACTCGGGAGTCAGAGGCAGGAGGGTCTCTGTGAGGCCAGCCTGGTGTACAAAGCTATACAGAGAAACCCTGTCTCAAAAACCAAATAAAATAAAATAAAGAAGTTAGAGAGATGGACCAGTGGTTAAGACCCAAGTTCTATTCTCACCACCAACATGGGGGCTAACAACCATCTGTAACTCCAGTTCCTGAGGATCCAAAGGCCACTTGTGGCTTCTGTAGGCAATGCATTTACATGATGCACAGACATCCATGCAAGCAAAATAACCTTACACATAAAATAAAGATAAATCTTTTTTAAAAGACGACATATTTTATTAGTTATTTTTGGTCACTTGTTACCAGATTCAGAAAGGAAATTCACTGAAGCTGTGCAAAATGTATAATGTTGAGACACATTAAAAGATAGTTTTAGTAATATAAGTTAGAATAGAAAGTGAATTAGGTACAACCTTTTGGACTCATCAAGATAGGACAGATGTGGAGTATTTACTCTGAATTTATCAATTGCTAATGGACTAGACATTGTTGATATATTCATTGATAGTACATAATGCATATAGTTATTGTACTTATTGTATATACTTTTTCTTATTTTAGTTATAGCCTTTTTTCTTTTAGATAAAAATGGAGAAATGTGCTGATATTTTTGTGTGTATGCTACTAAATAAAGCTTGACTGAAGATCAGAGGGAAGGGATAGCCATTAATTAACCATAGAAGTCTAGAAGTCTGTACAGATAAAAAGTGATATGGCTGAGGAGAGAGAGGAAGTGATAAGGCAGGGTGGAAAGAGGACGTTAGTCTCTTTTCAGGTTGACAGCCATAGAGGTAAGAATTCTAGTGGCTGCTGCTCTGGTGTGATCTTTCAGCTTTTCCCCCCAATGTCTGATTCCCAGTTTTTATTAATACCACTTAGAACTTGTGTAATAGTAAGGACATTAAAGAATATTAAAGATATTAAAGAACACTAAAGGTCTGCAGGTTACCTTGGCAGTGTGAGGTACATATTATAAGGATTCTGCAAAGAAAGCTTCATACTATCTACAAGATTATTCTGTGGCTATATGGAAGTGTAATGCTATGATTCTGACTACAGGAGTCTATATAAGTGATTCCTACTACACTGCAGGCATCTATAAATCTAACAGTTAATTCCAAAGGAAAAGAAACTAACATCCTATCCAGCAACTGCCCTCACAGGACTCTGTCCCTGCAAACTAGGAACTTGAGGAGCTTCTGTGCGCTTCTTATAGTATGGGAGGGTCTAGGTGTCCTATGAAGTGTAGATGGGGCTAGGACTTCCTAGAAGTCCTGAGAAATCTGACAACAGCTATGTGAGCGAGGGTCAGCTAGGGCTAAAAGTATAAAGAATGTGGCAAAGAATTCATTTCAAAGATTTTTTTTCTCCAGTAGTACTGGACTTAGGTCCATTACATTTCCCAGTGCTCCTTTTCTCCTCAAACTATAAATTATATATTTTTATATTTATATTTTTCCTTCATAACCTTTCTCCTTTTCCTTACATATCTGCATAAGAGTGACCACTAATAACCCCACAACAGAGTCAATACAAAGTTTTTTTGGTGGGTAGATATGTCCTATGTCAAAGCTATTAATGCAAAACTCTTCAATTCAAGTTTAGGTAGATTTTTTGGGGCAAGGACAAATAGCAGCCACATTCTTTGCAAAGTATCAGAAAAGCATCTGAAGGTTGTTTACTGATGTCCTCCCCCTTCTGACGCTTCTGGATCCCCATTGTTTAAATAGCACTCAACAATATCTTCCATGTACCCATTAGGATGGCCCCTTATCCTGCATAAAAATGTCCAATCACATTTTTATTCTGAAGTATCCAGGTCTTCCATATCCCTCCAAAAAAAAAAAAAAGCATTGTCAGGCCTCTCATAGCCATACCCAGCTCTCTGGTACCAACTTCTTTTTTAGTCAATGGTCTGTTATTTTGACTGACATCATGATCATGGCAACTCTGATAAAGTAAATCATTTAATTAGAGTGTGCTTACATTTTGAGAGGTTTACTTCATTATCATCATGGCAGGGGGCATGGAGGCATTCAAGTGGACTTGGTGCTGGAGAAGTAGATGAGAGTTCTTTACTAGGATCTGTAGACTACAAGAAGAGTGAAACATTGGGCCTAGGTTTTTGAAACTTTAAAGTGCCCCCCCATGACACACTTCATTAATAAGGTCACACCTCTTACTCATTTTCAAATAGGACCACTCCCGGATGACTAAGCATCACATATATGAGCCCTTGGGGGGAATTCTTATTCAAACCACCACACATGTTGAGAAAGCTAAGACAACAGGAGCTTGAAGGAGCTGGTCATGTTCCATCCATAGGCAGGAAGCAGGGGACACAAGAATTAGTGTTTTCAGGGTACTTTCTTCTTTGTAGCATGCAGGGTCTCAGCCAAACAGACGCTTCCAACCACAATCAACAGGTCTTCTCTCCTCAGTCAATTAACCTCTACAAAGGAATTTCCAGAGGCCTGTCTATCACATGATTCTATGTCTCATTGTGTTAACAATTGAGACTTAAGCATTACTTGTCCACCAGATGTTTACAGGAAACACAAACACAATTTAAAAGCATATGTGAAGTTTGTTTTGAGTATACCTATGTATGTATGTGTGGGCCCAAGCATGCAGGTCAGAGGACAACACTCAGAGGTAATTCCCCTCTTTCTACTATGTGTGTACTGGGGATACAAATAAGGGTTTGAGTCCTATTAGAAATCAGCTTTCCTCCTAAAACCATCATGCTGGCTCCAGCTGCTTAACTTCAAATTGTAAAATTACTTCCCTTTTTCTAAATCTTACAGGATCCAATTAGAAAGATTCACAAAGTAATTTACAGTCCCAAGAGTTTAAAAGACCCCAGTGCACATCTTTTGTGAGATTCAAGGCAAGTTCTTAACTGTGACCTCCTACGACATAAAAACAAGTGACTACTTCTACCACACACTGGCATAGAATGAACATTCTGCTTCTAAAACAGAAGAAACACAACACAGTGAGGAAGGATCAGCCCAAAATACAGAAGGGCAAGCTCACGGTGTGACAGCTCCAGTTTTGACATCTGAAACTTCCGCTGCACTAGAGTTGACTCCAAAGGATTTATGTTCCAGTTTCACCTGAAAGACACTTAGTCTGCTAGCTCAAAGAGGCAGAGAAAGCACCCATATGACCTTTCTCCTCAGTCAATATCCCACAACAATCCCTCTGCCACTCTGCCATCTCAAACTAGACTCCTCAAACTCAATGTCCCTCCCTTCTACTTCCTGTGGTTTTTCTGTCTGTCCTCTTACTGCCTCTCTCTTACTGTCTGGTTTAATCCTATGTTCACTTCCTGTCACCTGGTTGAATGTTCAGCCTCTTGACAATGGTTGATTTTAACCCTGTTTACAGTATTCTAGGAGAACACTCTTGGATTAAAGGTGTGTGCTAGGGCTGAGCCACACCACAGCTACAAATAGGTTTTTCCAGTAAACAAGGTAACCTCAGGGTACCCAGTGTGACCAAACACCCTGCTATACTCCTCACCTTCACTAAATATTTCATGCTCTAAGAACTGTGTTATGAGGTGAATATGTTGAACAAAGTAACTTCCAGAGTCATGAGTAGAAGGTTTCTACATAATATAAATTCACCAGGAGTTAATCAGAATGAAATTTCAATTAAAGGTATTACACAATATTTGTATCTGTAGGTTTTCTCAACAAATGTATATTTCCTGATTCAAAGGTGTGTCAAATAACTTGTCATTGATGTTTATAGTAGTTTCTCTTAAATACAATTTTCACTTATTCCATGCACTTAGATTTGAGTTTTCATTGTTTTACAAGATTCCTCTACCATATGATCTTTTTGATGTTAAATTGTTGATTAAAAGCAATAAACTTTTTCTACATTCTTTGTAACAGTTTATTTTTCAGTGTGAGTTAATGCTGAAGAAATCTCAAAGCCTTATGACATTCTCTCCAGTATGGAGGCTTCTATGATAAAAAGGCTCGCAACATTCTTTACCCAGTTTGATGTTTATTGTTGTGATAAATGTCATCACCCAAAATAATTAGAGGAGAAAGTTGGGGGTTTGATTTCAGTTCACTAGGGGTTTGATTTCAGTCCACTGGCAGAATATCACTATCCATGGACACCAGGCCAGGAGAACAGCAGAAACCTAGAGGCATCAGGTGAAGTAGAAACCATGGAGAAATGCTGCTTTTTGTCTTCCCTTTGGCTTGGGCATAGCCAGCATTTTCATAACCTAGGAAATCCTGGGCAAGGGTGGCCCAAGCAAGATGCACTGCCATCATCCAATGACCTAGATTCTCCTACATCAATTAGCATAAACAAATGACCAACAGACATGTCCATGGGACAATCAAGGAATCTACACAACTGAGATTAACACATAGTGCTAGGCTGTGTGAACTAGAGAGTAGAAGCAAACAAGGACATCAGCATTTCCATTATTTCCTCTCAGTAAATATCCTTTGTTGTTAGTGAAGATTAGAATATTATGAAGGGTTTGCTCATTATTTGGATGTGTAGAGTTTGGTGCTGATGAAGAATGGAAGTATTATTGAGGGCTTTTTTGAATTATTTGGGTGTACAGAGTTTCTCACTACTATAAAGTCTCAGAGGACACTTCCCATGTGAAAGTGGGGTCAAAGCCTTGTCATAATCTTAGTCTTTGTCAAGCACCTTACCAGTACGAACCCTATGATTCAGATATAAGCATGAGGGATAGCTAAACATGTGGCCATACTCTACATTTGCAGAGAATCTCTCATGTGTGAATTCCTTAATGCTCAAGAAGGGGTGAATGGTGAAGAAAAATATTCTCAAGAATCTGCACATTTCTAGGGTTGTTGCTTAGTATAAATACCTTTCTTTGTTTAAGGCAGCAGTTCTCAACATGAGGGTCATGACCCCTCGGAGTTCAAATGACCTTTTCACAGGGGTCACCTAAGACCATTGGATACAAAGGTTATTTACATCGTGATTTATAACAGTAGCAAACTGTTAGGTTGGAAGTAGCAAAGAAAACAATTTTATGGTTGGGGTAGCCACAACATGAGGAACTATATTAGGGGGTGTCAGCATTAGGAAGGTTGAGGATCACTGGTTGAAGGTATGAGGGCTCCTTAAAAGCATTGTCACACCCTCAGTTGTGTTGTTTCCCTCTGGGATACATTCTAAGGCAAGGAAATGTTGATTGAATGGCAAAGAACCTCACTATATTCTTCACATGTGTATGGTTTCCTTGTACTATGGATACTTTTGTGCTGGGTAAGGATGAATGGCCCCAAAGGCTTTACTACATTGCCCCTATTTGTAGGGATTCTATTTAGAACAATTTTTAATATCTTTTAGGGTCTGAAGAAGTAGAAAACATTTTATGAACATTTTAACATTTGTGTTATTTTGTTGAAGTGTGGACTACCTTGGGTTGAGAAACACTAGAAAATTTATTAAAGGGTTTTTAACATTTTTGACACTAGTGGCATTTCTCTCCAGTATGAATAATCAGATGTTTCAAAATTTCTTAGTAAGTGCAAAAGACCTTGGCACATTCTTCAGACTTTCTCTCTCAAATGAATTCTTTAATGATGTTTAAGATCAGAAGACTGGTGAAAGGTCTTGCCATTCTCCACACTAGTAATGTTTCTCTATAATGTGACTAGTCTGGTGTCTAGAACGTGCTGTGTAAGTTCTAAAGTCTTTACCGCATTCTTTATACTTGTAGGGTTTCTCTCCAGAATGAATTCTTGAATGTTCTTTAAGGTTCTGGCAAAGTTGATCAGTTTGCCATATTCTACACATTTGTAAGGTTACTCCCCAGTGTGAGTTAATTTGTGGTGATTTAGTTGTGGCTTTTTATAGAAGGCTTTTCCACACTCCTCACACTTGTAGGTTTTCTTTCCAGAATGGATTATCAAGTGAGCAGAAAGAATCCGAGAAATTCTAAAGACCCTGCCACATATTTCACACTTGTAGGGTTTCTCTCCTGTATGGATTCTCTTGTGTTCTGACAGTAGTGATGGAATACGGAAGGCTTTGCCACATTCCTCACACTTGTAGGGTTTCTCTCCTGTGTGAATCATCATGTGTTTAGACAATCCTGATAGACTATTGAAAGCCTTGCCACACACTTTACACTTGTAGGGCTTCTCTCCTGTATGAATCCTCTTGTGTACAGAAAGTCCTGATGGACCATTGAAGGCCTTGTCACATACTTCACATTTGTAGGGTTTCTCTCCCGTATGAATGTTCTTATGTATAGAAAGTCCTGATAGACGATTGAAGGCCTTGCCACACACTTCACACTTGTAAGGCTTCTCTCCTGTGTGAATCCTCTTGTGTACAGAAAGTCCTGATGTGCAATTGAAGGCCGTGCCACACACTTCACACTTGTGGGGTTTCTCTCCTGTATGGATTCTCTTGTGGATAGAAAGCTGTGATGGGATATAGAAGGCCTTGCCACATAGTTCACACTTGTAGGGTTTCTCTCCTCTGTGAACCCTTTTGTGTACAGAAAGACTTGATGGACGATTGAAGACCTTCCCACAGATTTCACACTTGTAGGGCTTCTCTTCTGCATGAATTTTCTTGTGTTCAGTAAGTCGTGATGGAAAATAGAAGGCCTTGCCGCACACTTCACATTTGTTTGGCTTGTCTCCTGTATGAATGCTTTTGTGTGCAGAAAGTAGTGATGGACAGTTGAAGGCCTTGCCACACACTTTACACTTGTACGGTTTCACTCCTGTATGGATTCTTTTGTGTTTAGAAAGCAATGATGGAGCATGGAAGGCTTTGCCACACACTTCACATTTAAAGGGTTTCTCTCCTGTATGTACTCTCTTGTGTTCACAAAGCAATGATGGAATACAGAAGGCCTTGCCACATTCTTCACACTTATAGGGCTTCTTTCTTAAATTAATATTCTGGTTGTTAATGGGTTGTGAGGTCCAAGAAACCGCTATGCTCCATTCTTTGCCTGTAGGGTGTTTTTTTCCTGGTGAACAAAGGTTGAGAAATGAATGAAAACTGAGCTAAATTCTCTAGATTTATGTTTATTTTTAAAAGCAGAATCATTTCCTCATACCTGTATGTTTCAATACAAATAATAGGTTACATTCAAATTTGTAAACATGTATTCGGTGGAGCCTAATTAAAAACACCATGACAGGTAGAAATTATGTAACCTGCACTGAAAGACAAAGGCCATGACAACATAGAACATAGGATCAAAGCAATATTAATCAAAGTCAAGCATGAGAGGAAGGTACAACATCAACAATTAGGAAAACAAGAATTTCATGCTATTGTAAATGAGCTGCTTAAAGAGATATAGAAATGTGACTAGAAGAACACAAACTATGAAAGTAATCAAATCTGGAAGATACATGTTTTCATAGTTTATATGTATCCTAACTACAGACTTTCATACCTTTTGGAAGGTGTGAAAATTATGCTACATAACAACAAAACTGGCCATAACAATATTAAATAATATATTCCATGAATTGAAGACAGTAGGATCTATGCTCATTTAATGAATAAATATCCAATGATTAACTTATGAGAAAGAAATCATGGTCACCTAGAAATTACAGAACATAGGCAGCCACTGTAAACATAGCTGACCTGATGGGAGAAGAACAAAGCATAAGAGAATCAATGCATAACAACACTTTTCACAGAAAAAGGCACACAAGGAGACCTTAAAAACTGATTTCCATCAGAACACTGTGAGTCAATGTGCAGGACAAAGCCTGGCTTCCTGCTGGATCTCAGGCCTCCCCACTCTGTCCTTGTTCCCCCATTCCTACACACCTGTTTGCATGGCAGCTGCTGCTTGTCTCTTCATATCTGAAGGTCCTTGACTGTGCTCCAGAAATGTGACCAGGTAAGGCTTAGAGGAAGCAAGACCTGTTTATGGGAAAAGAAAACACCATTATTAGTGTGATCTCCTGAAGATCACATGTCCTCTCTAGGTTGGTGTGTAAAAGGAATGAGAAGATACAAACAAGGATTGTAGAGCATTAGTTCTTCCTGTGTTTCCTGATGGACACAGCAGAATGCTTAGGAGGAATTTAGGATTTGCATGTCCTGACCTTCATCTCCCTCAGCTAGAAAGAAAAATATTAAAGCTGAAAAGTATGGCATTCTTTTTAACTTGTATGTTTCCCACTCATACAATCACTTTATAGCATTACACAAATATAAAGGATACTTCTAAAAGGAAGGGGGAAATTATGCACACACGAAGAAATAACATCATTCTAAGATGTATGAATACTCTCCTTAATTTCCCTGAAAATTTTCCTCATGAATTTCATTGTTGGAAGCACAAGCTCCCATGAGATATGGCACAAAGGTAGTTTGATGCTGACAGTTAAGAGTTCACCATGGAAGTGTTCCTCACCCATGTTGTAGAATATTATTTTAAGGTGCGTTACTTTTATTTCTGCTCTGAAATGTTTATTTAATGATGCAAAGATGTGACTGATTTAAATAAAATTCATCTGTGCTCAGGACGCTGAGTCAGGAACTAGCTGACAGGAAGTAGTAGGGAGAAGCCAGGTGAAGGAAGGTTTTTAAGTAGGGGTGAGGAGAAGAAGAGGGCATTTGGAGAGACAGGAGAAGGAGAGGAGGTGAGCTACTTGCTACTCGGTCTCTCTGAGGAGCAGAATTCCACCTCAACCTTTCAATCTTCAGTTCTTTAAAGGGGCAAAGATTTAGGTAAGTTCCCTTCCTAGCTTTGAAACAGTCCAGTGCCTAACGGAACAGAATTTCCCCCAGGCTGCTCCTCTTATGGCATAACAGCTGGTTATAGCATTGTAGTTGCAGTTCCTGATTAGGACAGTCATGGTTTAAAAGGTAGTAACATTTTTTAAAAAAAAGAACAACCCACCCAGGAACACAAGGTGGCTAAAATTCTCCAACATCACATCCCTGTACAGATTCCACTGATCAGGGCCCAGGCATTCATGCTCCTCTGCAGAGAAATCAATGGCCACATCCCTGAATGACAGCATTTCCTGAAAAAAAGAAAAAAAATGAGTGCTGTACATTATGCTAACTAAAACTGCCAGTAAAAACATAAATACCAAGCAGCACATGTGCTTCTGTATATAAATGTAAAGGTGACCCAGAGTGAGAGGAGAGGTGAAAGCCCTTCTGATACAGGAAAGCAATATCCCTAAAATTAGTCTGATGTAGTTCCATAATGCAGCATAGGACTCATGATTAAGCAAATTGAATGGCAGAAGGTTCTAGAAATTTGCACAGATGTTATACTTTTAAAAACCATAAAATGGGGGAGTGAATGTATCTACAGAAGAGTATTGTTGAGGCAGGAGAGATGGCTCAGTAGTAAACAGCACTGGCTGCTCTTCCAAAGGACCTGGGCTTGATTCCCAGCAGCCACATGGCTGCTCACAACTGTCTGTAACTCTAGTTCCAGAGGATCAGACAGTCTCTCAGACATGGACACTACATGAACATATAAATAATACAGTTTTGAAACAAAGCATGCATTTTGTCCCATGCTCATATCATAAGACACCACACAGGATGTACATTCTCACAGTAGAGAGCCATAGTGCTGGGGAGGACACTTCTTTTTTATTTATTATTTTTATTTAATTTAAATTAGAAACAAGTTTGCTTCACATGTCAATCCTAGCTCCCTCTCCCTCCCCTAATCTCCCACCAGCTTCAACTGTGTCCAGGCAGAGACAGCATCCCTTCACATAGAATGGGCTTCCAAAGTCCATCTGGATGACAGGGCTAAATGCTGATTTACTACCTGAGGCCCCAAAGGATGCTGCGGTCTCCTCACTGACACCCACTTTCAGGGGGGGTCTGGATCAGTCCCATGCTGGCCTCTCAGCTATCAGTCTGGGGTCTATGAGCTCCCCCCTTGTTCAGGTCAGCTGTTTCTGTGGGTTTCACCCGCAAAGTCATAACCCCTTTGCTCATCACTCCTCCCTCGCTGCAACTGGTTCCGGGAGTTCAGTTCAGTGTTTAGATGTGGGTGTCTGGGAGACTACACTTCTTACCCCAACAAGAACAATCACGAATGATAAACACAATGAAGATACAGATCTGCTCCAGAAACTCTGGGATAGGTCTGACTTCTTCTGCATGTACACAATGATGCAAATGACAATGCACCAACATGAGTTTCAGCAAACAAAGGACAATACAATAAATGAAGAACTTGTGGGCAATATGCAATCACAAGTACTTTAACAGATTTATGACTAGGAAATTCAGCAATAAGATTAGTCACTGTGGAGACTTAACACTGACCCAAGACTCTCTCAGCAGCCCCAGTGAAAGGACAAAGGGAATGACACACGAGGCATGGCTTAAGAAAGCCTTGGAGGAACCGGAAATGATAAGCATGCAGGGTTGTTTTCTTTAAGAAGAAATGACCCATGTCTCTTCACTGGGAAGCTACAGTGAATGCTGTCTAACAACCTGGAGATCTTCTCGAGTCTATGGCTCCGACTTCACCTGAATCTCACCCCACTCCATATCCTGAGCATTGTTCAGACCCTAATCCTGGGCTTTGTCTCTGAATAAAACTTATCTTTATGAAAGTGGTTCCATGAAATTTGCATCCTCAGTCAATAAAACTCAGTTTGATAACTGTTCTGTTATATATAATTTGACTATGTTAAAATTAAAACCTTTCCTTTAATTTAGACAAAAAAGAGATGATGGAGGAAGTCCTTCTGTGTATATGTTGTCTTATCGGTTGAGTAACAAAGCACTATTGGCCAATAGAGAAGCAAGATAGGTGGGACTAGGAGTCAAAAATAATTCTAAAAATCTAATACACAGTCAGTCACGATGCAGGACAAGAAAATAGTAAAAGGTCCAGACCCTTTTCTCTGGTAAGAGAAGACCACATGAAAATGCTCAGATTAACAGTTATGGGTTAATAATTAAGTCAGAGCTAGCCAATAAAAAAACAAACAAATGGCCAACAGCTTCATAAATGATATAGTGTCCTGTATGTTCATTTGGGACTGTTACTGCTCTGGAACCAGGCTGATAAAAAAATATATACGTTACACACCTCTTTAATGCTGGGATTAAAGATGTGAGCTCCCATAACCTGACTCTGTTTCTCTTTTATACTCATTTAATCTCATGTAGCCCAGGGTGGCCTTCCTGCTTCCTCCTCCCAACAAATGAAATTAAAGGCAGTGACCTCCAAGTACTGGTATTAAAGGTATGTGCCACCACTTCTTGGCCCCTAGTGGCTTAATTCTACACTCTGATCTTGAGGCAATCTTTATTTGTTAGATCACAAACTAAATATCACCACATATGCAATAAAGAATTTAAGAAATATACCATCAGCCGGGCGTTGGTGGCGCACGCCTTTAATCCCAGCACTCGTGAGGCAGAGGCAGGCGGATCTCTGTGAGTTCGGGGCCAGCCTGGTCTACAAAGTGAGTTCCAGGACAGCCTCCAAAGCTACAGAGAAACTCTGTCTCAAAAAACCAAAAAAAAAAAAAAAAAAAAGAAATATACCATCAAAATCTCAAGGGTGAAATACCACCGTGATGGAAAGAAATAAACAAGCAACATCACACATGCTAAGGCGTAAGAGGGCCTTGACAAACACAAAAGCTGACAAAAATTACAAGAGCATGAAAAAGACATGAAAGAACACTAAAGGTCTGCAGGTTAGCTTGACACAAAAAGAGCCTTCAGCAAAACCTGATGACCTGAAGTGGATCCTGTACACTCAGGCAGTGCAAGGAAAGAAACTGTGATCTCTATGTGCGTGGCATGGCATGTGAATTTACATATGAACACAGGCACACAGTCTGTCAGTCAGTCAATCTAGAAACCAGTCAATCAATGTACTAAACAGTACCAAAGGGATTGTAAAAGATTTATTGAACACAACACAAAGAATAAAAAAAGAAACAAGAAAGCCAGTATCATGACACGTGTGCAATCTGAGTTTGTGGAAAGGGTAGGTAGGGATACAAGGCATATGTGGCCAGCCTCATCTACCTTGGATTTCAACACACCCTGGGCTTTATAAACTCCTCCCTCATTTAAACAAACAAACACTCTCTCCATCATTCAAGATAATGAACTTAAGGAGAATAAGTGGCTTAATGATGCCCTACAATTTTTAGTATTCAGGCATCTCTACTGGCCTGTCCTTGGGATTCTGACAGGATATGCCCTCAGCTGCAGCCACTAAGAGCACAACCTGTGCATATTCACTATGTTTCCTTTTAAAAGGGCCCTGCCAAACACCCATCCTTCTGTCTTTCTTTTTTCCCTCTCTCTACTCTGGTTCTCTCTCTCTCTCTCTCTCTCTCTCTCTCTCTCTCTCTCTCTCTCTCTCTCTCTCTCTCTCTCTCTCTCTCTCTCTCTCCCTCTCTCCTCTCTTTTCTCTCCCTCTGTTCCTCTCTTCTTCTGCTCCTGTCTCAGGAGGCCAGTCTCCCCTTTTTATGGTCTCTCTCCCTAATTAAAAAAATAACCCTATGTTTGAACCCTGCCTCATGGCATCTTTTTCTCAAGCACTGTTTTTCTTAAATTACAACAACAATAACAAGAAGAAATAACCACAAGAATGATGGAAATGACAAAGACAATCCAGGAGTTGAGACTGAAATTCAATAAAGAGAGAGAATGATGAGGGCTTTAGCTGAAATGAAGATGGAATTGAAAAGCCAACAATCCAACCACAAAAGCTTACAATTAAATGAATCAAGCAGAACAAATGCATCCAGACTTAGATATAAAGTAGCTGATCTACACAAAATAAGTTAAGAATATGAAAAATTAATAAACCCACAAAAGGAAATGCAGGAGAGATAAGCAATATGAGAAGACCAAACCTGCAAAATATAGACATAGTTGGGAAGAAACCCTAGGCATAGACAAGGTCTTCAACAAGATCATAAAAGAAATCATCCCCATAAAATTACAAGAAGCACACAGACCATGCACGACAAGAGCAGAAAGAAACTCCTTACGGCATACTGAGAGCTGCAAGCAAAATGACAGCTGCATAGAGATCAGATCTGATTCCTCAGTGCAAACTCTGGAACCCAGAAGGTCCCAAGTCTTAAAAGAGCATGACACCCAACCTAAGCTACTACACATGGCAAAATGATCTGCCATAGCTGAAGGACAAAGATAATATAAAAAAGCATTAATAATTATGCCCTCCGAACCTAAAGAAAATACAGGAAGCAAGGTACCTTAGACTGGAGAGAAGTGTAACACGGAAAATAAAGGGATGCAGAGACTGAAATCGGGGGGTCAAGCTGCAGCTCAGGGAAGCAAAGCACCGACTACTACCTCTCTACCTCAGGCTGACCCTGTTTCCACGACATCTCAACAAGTCTCAAATTGCTGCCTCTCCTCACTGTGGCTGGAGAAGGAATGCCTCTCTGAGACCTTGCTTCTGTCTTATATACTTCCCTAATGATGGGATTAAAGGTGTGAGCTATAATTCTCTTTAAGAGTGATTCACTCTTGTGTAGATCTAGGTGGCCTTGGACTCACAGAGATTCATCTACCTCTTAATCCTAAATCCTAGTATTAAAGGTGTGTATCATCACCTCTTAGTTTCTGGCTGCTGGGATATAATGTGTATCCCCACTGCCTAATCTCTAGAGCATGAGGCTGACTTTGCTTTCTGAATCCCCAGGCAAGCTTTAATAAATAATAAACAATATATCACTACAGAGAAGGATGTACATAGCAAACAAACCGTACATAGAAGAAGCCAAAATTACTAACACAGAAAGGGACACTGAGAACACAAACAGCACCACCAAAAGTCAGCAGGCCAGTGACAGCTCATATATCACACGTCAGAACAACCAATGCCCTCCATTCCCCATGTAAAAGTCATAGGACAGATGAATGGATCAAAAAACAAAATCCATCTTTCTGGCTCCGGGAGAAACACATTTAAGAGTTTTCATTTATGGACACTACTGCTAAAATGAAGGGATAGAAGGAAGGCATGTGACAAGAGGACAGTGTACAGAACCTACTAGATCACCTGGGCCATTTCTCCCCTCTGCTGTGGAATAACCCTCTTATACGCCACTCGAGTTGGTATACAACTCTGATTGGCCAGTGGTCACACAGGACATAGGTAGGACAACCAAACTAAGGATGATCTGAAGGACAAGGGCAGAGTCTGAGGAGTCTGCAAGCAGACACAGAGAGAGCAGGAAATTAATGTTCCATGTTAATAAAGGTACCACCATGTGGCAGAGAGCAAATACAGAATATGGGTTAAATTAAAATGTAAGAGCCAGTTAATAATAAGCCTGCTATGGGCTGAGCATGCATAATTAATATAAAGCCTCTGAGTAATTTTTTAGGAACTGGCTGGTGGGAGAGAAATGTCTGCCTACACCTCTCCCTTTCAGAGATAGTCAAGCCTCCTCCTGTCAATCATGAGGTCCACTTATCCTATCACACCAAGTCCTCTCTCACGTCAGAAAAGGAGCACAAATTTCTGACATCACAGTCTCAAAAGGAACGGATGCAATATTGCTCTCTTACAGTTTTCACTCCGCAGCGTGAAGCCCGCAATTGTGTGGATTCTGCAAAGACAGCTTCATACTAACTACAAGATTATTCTGTGTCATATGGGAGTGCAATGTGGTGATTCTGGCCACAGGAGTCTATATAAGTTATTCCTATTCCACCGCAGGCATCTATAAATCTAGCAATTAATTCCAAAGGAAAAGAAACTAACATCCTAGACAGCAACTGCCCTCATGGCACTCCGTCCCTGCAAACTAAGAACTTGAGGAACTTCTGTGAGCTTCCTAAAGTATGGGAGGGTCTAGGTGTCCTATGAAGTGTAGGTGGGGCTAGGTGTCCACTCTTCCTAGAAGTCCTGAGAAATCTGACTACTGCCATGCTTCCCCAATGAAGTAGGAAAGTGAGCTCCCTTCAGCTCCTAGGTCACCAGAAGCTCAGGTGGACTCGGGCAGCAGGGCGTCCTAAGAGACTGGACACCCACAGCACGTGGCTTTGGCATGTTCCCCTCTCCTCTGTCAAACCTGCACCCAGGTGCAGTGGCCCAGCCTAGGTCAGCACAGCCACACCCCCAGGTCAGCTTCTCCTGCCTCCCAACCAGCCCAAGTCAGCTCCCTCCACGCCGGACCCGACACCTTGCACAATCCATCAGATCTGCAGGACGGCGCTGCACCCTGCACCAACCTCCATGTCAGAGATCCAAGCCCAGTGCTGAGCAGGACAGGCGCCTAACTTCGGGGAGAAGCGAAGTTTGAAGTCTGAACATGCAAGTTCTTCCGGTATCCAAAGCCCATTCTTGTGATGTCATCGTATGAGGAACTACATTTCCCATAAGTCAGCGTAAAGGATTTCCGGGAATCCTCCCAACGTGATTTGTTGGGAGGAACCTGGCTTGAGAACCGGACAGGAGCAGGGCAATCCCGTGTGTTTCAATGCTGTGATCTCAGCAACAGGTATTAGCCTGTGAGCCCAGCCTTTCACAGTAATGTTTCCAGCGTTTCCTAGGTATTTCCGCTAAAAGGTTCTGATGTTGAAGCTCAGGTCTCCTTATTAGGGGATCTTAACTACCGCATGAAAACTCAGATTCATCTGTTTTACTTAAAATAAGGAAGTAGGACTGGGCATCATGTCTTCAAGATGCTTTTTGAAGCCGCCCTTGGTGACCCTGCCTGTCATCCAGTGTCCCAGGAGCTTAAGACAGAAGAATCAGAAGACAAGGCTATCAAAGACAACTTATAGATGTGTTCTATCAAAACACAGTGTAGAGGACACACAGTGGGCCAGCTCAGGGTAAAGCTCTTGGCTATAATGAAGGCAGCTTTTGGTTTAATATATCCAGTAATAAAAATGATCCTTGTCCTCTTTGCTGACACACAGTGTGAGCCATGCATTCCTACATCTGGAATAGGGTTGATATACAAGCTGGAATCCATACAGTAAAGGGCATGAGTCAGGGTCACACAGATGCTTAAAATCATTGAACAAAGTGGAAACTGCAGATCCCTGACATTTACTTGCAATGAAATTCCAGATCAATCTCAGATCTTTCCATCTGTCTGTCAATTCCTTTCCCACACTTTCTATTAATCTGTGTAATAAATATTAATCCAGTGTCTGCTCTACCACAACCCCTCACACACTTCTCCCTAAGTTTTCACGACTCAGACAAACAGTCAGCACCAGGTGTTCTCTGAGCACAGCTCTCCTTCTCTGCACCTCCCCCAGGGAAGGACCCAGCTCCTGGGACCACACTGGAGTGTGCTCTGACTCCTGGGATCACACTGGAGTGTTCTCTGACTCCTGGGATCACACTGGAGTGTGCTCTGACTCCTGGTCCATCGTGCATTGCAGGCTTTCCCTCTGCGTTACATTTGACATTCCTTATTGAATTTCCCCTCTCCTCTGATCCTGACACTGTTCATATTTGACACTGTCTTGAACATCAATGGTATCTGCCTTGACCTTTCCTCCCTTTTTTGAGGTAGCACACAGAGATGATTATTCCTCAAATGCACAGTTATTAGAAATGTGTTTTTTAGGACTAGCAAATGAGATCACTGAAGCGAAGAACTACACTGGAACCATGGTGTACTAAGAATGCCCATGTCTTCCTTGGAAAGAATTTTTCCTGTACAGCTCATGCTTAGACAATGATACAAACCCTGTCACAAGGAACACAGATGCTTCCATGATAGACATTGGTTCTTAGGGAAGCTGTTTCTGAGCAGAAACTGTAGGAAGCTCTGTGTCATATTCAGTTCTTTACGCCAAGCATTGTGTTCAACTCAGTGATACAGAACACCCCTCTCAGCTTAGAGGAACTATTCAACAAGCAGAGCATCCCTCTGGATATTTGATTGACAAGTCTGTTAGAATGAGGCCATGACAATAATGGGAAGGGGAAAATACTCTGATGTATATGTATAAAATGTTGATCCTGTCATTTGGCATGCAACTTTAGTAAGTGTTCCTATTGCAGTGACAAAATGTGCTCTCAGAGCACCTTACAAAGGGTTTATTGGACCATGGTTCAAGGACACTCTCTGCCACACTGAGAAAGTTAAGACAAGAGGAGCTTAAAGCAGCTGGTCATGTTTCACCCACAGTCAGGAAGCAGAAGGAGATGGAGGAATTATTGATTTCAGGGCACTTCCTTCTTATGCCATGCAGGATCTCAACCAACAGCTGCTTCCACCCATAGTCTATAGGTCTTTAGACCTCTAGTAAACTAATGAAAATAACTTCTGCAAAGGTGTCAGGGCCTTCATGATATTTTGGAAATATGTTCCACCCAGCCACGGATGGCCTGGGCTCAGTGGGGTATGGCTCCTATTCTGAAAAACAAAAGACGTGGGCCAGGGCAAGACTACACCCACCCTGAGGGCTAGTGAGACTTACTGGTGTGGAGTACCTGAGGGCATCAGTACATGATACTAAGGAGTTCCTCTAGTATTAAAGGAAATATTTGCTATCAACCTTTTTTATATGGTAATGGATATCTTCTTCCATTACCCTCACTTTGGATGGTTACTTAAGATGATGCTTCAATAAACCATGGCCTTCGGTATTTACTGGGAGACCTCCTGTAATGACCAATGTCTCTGTCTTTAATGCCTTTGGGTTGTTAATTTTCCCGCATCCACACATCCCCACTCAGGGTCAGACCTGGGGCTGTTTGGCTGGTTCCGATCTCAGCCCTGAAGACATTAGTCCGGAATACAAAGGAATGTGCAGAAACTTGCTTCTCATGTGATTGTACATCTTATTGTGTTAACAATTAACACTTAATCATTTCTTCTCCATCCCTTGTCTACAGGAAACACAAACACAATTTAAAAAATATACTTTAAGTTTATTTTGGTGTGTGTGTGTGTGCGTGTGTGTGTGTGTGTGTGTGTGTGTGTGTGTGTGTGTGTGTACCCATGAATGGAGGTCATAGGACAGCCTTCAGAGGTAATCATTCTTTCTATTATGAGAGTACTTGTGGGTCTTGTGGCAATCAATCTTTTTCCCAAGGCCATCATGTTAGCTGCAACCACAAAGCTCTACATCATAACATTCTCTCCCTTCTCCCAACCTTACATTCATCTCATGAGTAAAACAGGATCCAACTAGACAGACCCACAAAGTACTTAACAATTTCAAGAGTTTAAAAGACCTCAGCCCGCATCTCATCTGAGACTCCAGGCAATGTCTTAAGTGAGGTTCTACAACATAAAAACAACTAGCATACTTCCACCACACACTGACACAGAACAAACACTCCCACTCTAAAACAGAATAATCAAAGCATAGCAAGGAAGGATCAGACCAAAATCCAGGAGGCAAACACCCGGTCTGATGACTGAGTCTTGACATCTAGGACTTCTGCTGCACTGGTGTTGACTTGGGTGACCCCCACCTTTCCAGCTTCACCTGAAACATACATAGTGTCTCTCCTAGGCACACACCAGTCATTTCTTGCAGTTTTCCTTAGCAGGTCCTGTACTTCCTTCCTTCTGACACCAGGCATCTCCAGTATCTTGGGACATGCAATAATTTGGTTTCGTAACAAGTTGATATCCTCAAACTTGAGTGGTCTGAATGACTGTGATATCTATGACTTGATTCTTTCCACCCCATTAAACAATGTTACATTAATTCTGAGCAGTACCTAATATTTTTCAACATTCCACTTCATTAATTCCCTTATACCCATTACTGAGGGATGACAAGACTTTGCCACACAATTTGACTTTACATGATGCTTTCTGCTCTAATTTGCTCTATGAGGCTTACATGTTGGACAAAGTTTCTGTCAGAGTCATACATAGAAGATCTCTATTTCATATGAATTCACTCATCATTTACTAGAACATTGTTTTCCAGGAGACATGCTCTGAGGATATCTAGAATATAAAGAAGAGTGGAACACTGCTCCTCATTCCCTAACGACTCAGTTTGATTTCTCTTGGTGTGATAAACATCACAGTCAAGACTACTTAGGGGAGAAGAGATGTTTTTTCAGTTCACTGACTGAACTTCATCCATGGAAGCCAGGGCAGGAGAGCACAGCAGAAATCTAAGGCAGCAAGTGATGTAGGAACTAGAGAGGGAATCTACTTTCTGGTTTATGCTCTTTGACTTCAGCTTAACCAACATTTTTCTACAATCAGGACCACCTGCTTAGGTGTGGCACATCCAAGGTGCACTGACATCATCCTAATTGGTCTGGATTCTCATATATCAACGAACATTTGTGAAAATACTCCTATTATAGACATGGTCATAGCCAATCAGATCCAGATTGAGACTCTATCACATATTGCTTGGCTGTGTGAAGCTGAGAGCAGAAACAAATAGGACATCTTCATTGCAGAGCTTCTTATCAATGCATATTCTTTGGAGCTGATGATGATGAAAAAAATTAGGTTGTTTCCACATCATTTGAGGGTGTAGAGTTTCCCTGTAGTATAATGTCTCTGGGGACACTTTGGGTATGAAAGTCAGGTAAAGGGACTGCCACAATCTTAGCACTTATAGTGCTCTTCACCACCATGAACCCTATGACTCTTACAGAAGAATAAAAAGCAGCTAAACACATGGCCATATTTTATACATTTACAGAGAATGTCTTGTGTGTGACTTCCTTGACATTCAGGAAGAGCTAGGAAGGCTTTTCAATATCCTTTGCATTTGGAAGGCTGGTGCTCAGTGTGTGTGGTTTCCTTTTGTTTAAGATATAAGCATCCTTTAAGATATAAGCATCCTTTAAAAGCACTGTCACCCCCTCCATGATTGTGCTGCTTCTCTGCAGGACAAATTCTGGTCAGAAAGCATTGATTAACTGGAAAAGCTCTTCACCACATCCCTCACATGTGTACAGCTATCTTGCATTACTGATCCTTTCATGTTGGGTAAGGTCTGGATGCTTCCAAAGGCTTGACCACATTGCTCAAACATGTAAGGCTTCTAGTCAGAATAAATTTTTTGATATCTTTTAGGGTCTGAAGAAGTATAAAACATTTTATGAACATTTTAACATTTGTATTACTTCACTGAACTTTAAACCACCTTGTGTTGAGAAATATTACAAAGCTTATTAAAGTTGGCAACATTTTTCACACTAGCGGCATTTCTCTCCAGCATGAATTATCAGGTGTTTCAAAAGTTCTTAGTGCAAACGACTGTGTGCTTTCTTTCACAGATGAATCCTTTGGTGTTGTTTAAGACCAGAAGACTGGTGGAAGGCCTTGCCACATTCTCCGCACTTGTAACGTTTCTCTCCAGTGTGAATTCTCTGGTGTTTAGAACGTGCTGTGTAAGTTCTGAAGTCTTTGCCACATTCTTTACATTTGTAGGGTTTCTCTCCAGAATGGATTCTTTGATGCTCCTTAAGGTTTTTAG